AAGGAATTTTACACCATGGTCAGATTGGTAAAGACTGTGAGGAGTTTTGCCTTCCCTTGTAGCAGGGGTGAGGCCTCTACCCGGGATCTCTGGAGCATCTAGTGACAACACCTCATAGAAGCAGGGTGCTGGCTGCCTGGTCCCCTGCTTTACCTGGGTCAGGCAGGTTAGGGTGTCGGGGCTGTCTTGATTCAGGGTTGATGGCCAGTTTATGTAGGGTTTAGATTATGGATTGCATGGGCTGGTTTACATGAGACTGATCCTGCCTCACGCAGGGGGGTGGGACCTCTGGAGGCCCCTTCCAGCCTGACTTCCCTAGGGCTCTATATTACATTACGTCATATTAGATTCTTATTGTATCATCTGTCATATTGAATGAAATAGTTTGAATGTTTGTAAAGGTTGCCCATTAGCCAGTTTCAGGAAGAAGATAAGATTTATCTCCTTATCTAGCTCATTGTTTTGGGGACTACGTGCAAAAGGTCCTGACTTCGCTTAAAGTCTTAATTTAAATTTTATCTTTAGAAGTCTTTTACAAAGAGAGCAAATATCCTGAGTTCCGAGAGATCAAACCCTAAGGCCTTTTTACAAGATTGGTAAGAAATGGGCATTTGCAGTGATATGGAAGTTTCCCAAAGGTAATTTCAAAAGAATCTGTTGAATAAGATCCGAGCCCAAATTTGGGGGTAATGACAGGTTGAGTAGGAGGAGCCCATAGACGGCAGCTCGCTCAATAAAAACTGTAACTTACTGTCCCAATTTGGAGGTAACTTCACTTGCAGAACAACGAAGGAAGAATCGCAAGTGTAGCCCGGATCAGACTGATCACCTGAACCACCCTCTCCGTGAACACGACTCTTAGTTCACGCTGAAGCTGCAGAGCACCCGAAAGGGACTGAAGGAAGGGGACTTAGTCCTATCACTGCTGAGCCCAGCTCATTGAATCCTATTGCTGAGGCCAGCCTATTGAATTGTATTGCTGAGGCAAGCCCATTGAACCGTACTACTGAGGAATGAAACCATATTTTGGTATTTGGCTTCTCGCAATTCTAGGATTGTAAGTATATTATGAAAATAATAGTATTGATTCAAATTTAACTTTTAGTTGTAATTGTAGTTGTTTTTGTAATACTAATTCTTATAGCATTGTTTGGGAAGGAAGTGCATTTGGAGCATTGTTTCTGATATATGTAATTATTGTGTTTTTAATGTTTGTGGTGTTTCTTAAAGCTAAGCAGTGTTATGTATGTAGCAAAGAGTTTTAAAATAAAATTGTGTTGTATGAATTAAGTGTGTAATCATTGTGAAATCGTGCAATCAGCTAACTACTCCCCCAGCCAGTGCATCAAAACGAATCAGTAAATTGTGTGGGATTTTCTCTATTCCATAACCCACTAGAGACATCATCCTGTATTATACTGTTGTATTGTATTATGTATATTAGAATAGGTATTATATATAACGTGTAATGTAGATATATAATGTGTATGTGTATATATGTGTGTGTGTGTGTGTGTGAGTGTGTGTATAGGTATTATATATTACATTAGGTATTGTATAGTATTATATCGGTATTATATATAACATATAATGTAGGGGTGTGGGTGTGTGTGTGTAAGTAATCCTTGCTGAAAAATTCGATGTAGCGAACTTTTAAGATAAATCCTTAACATTTAATTTAATGCTTAACATAGCTTGGCAATACTTTTATTTTTTGCTTCTTGCCTATACCAGCCTCATTTCACCTCCTTCCCTTAAACCAACCAGCAGTTCTCTGCCTTTCTAGCGTCAGGCACCTCTCGGGAGACTCAAGGCCCCCATCAGAAAATGCCAGCTCTCTCAGTTTTTTGTCTGCAAAAAAACAACAGTGCAGTTCTTCTGTTGCAAAGAACAGCCCACAGCAGGTTAACACTGCAGATTCCTATTTGAAATCTCTGGGTTTATTTTGTGAGTCCTGGTTGCACTCTTGACAGTGCTAACACTGCAGAGCACCTCTTGAAGGCATCTCAGAGCACCCCAGGGTGCCACAGCACCGTGCCTGAGAATCACTGCCTTAATATAGATCAGAGACAATCGTTATCTGAATATGAAATAGTCAGGACAGATGCTCTGCATTCACAGTCATTTAGCTTTTCAAACCTGTTGTTAAACAAAGATGCAAGGGTTTGGGTTTTTTTAATCTGCCTCTTAGAAATTTTGCCCCTTTCTAGTTGGCCTCGGGATGAGACCCAAGGCCAAGTTTCCAGCCCCCAGTGCTGAGTGAGACCCACAGCCTGTCTGCTTTACTCCCAGAAGTAGGACTGTTGGGTTAAATCAGTCTCTGGTGTAGTATTTTTATTTAGCTGAGTTATCATTGATGAATTTGGTCTGGGGGTTTCAGAGCTATGTGATAAGTGGTTTCGTTTCTTTTCTTTTCTTTTCTGACTCTCTGGCCACAGTGGGGACAACCAGAATATTCAATTTTCAGATTTCTTTGGGGTTTTTTAACTTTTATTTTCATAGATTTCATTCGGGCTGGAAGGGACCTCAGAAGATCATCGAGTCCAGCCCCCTGCCCCAGGGGCAGGAAGTCAGCTGGGTCAAAGGATGCCAGCAAGATAAACTTCTCATCATTGAAGTCTGACAAACTTAGAATGGTAGCATCATTTTGAGATGGAAACTCAAAACATTTCATTTGGAAGATGCCAGACTGAGACATTTCAACTCTTTGGAGGTTTGTTTTTGGAGCTGAAACTCTTCGTTGTTCAGCATCTGTTGGTGCATTTATTCCATTGACCCAAAAGTGCATTGTTTGGCACGTAAGCCATTCGTGTCAAGCAAAGGAAGCACAGCTCTATCCACTGAAATCCTCTACTGGAGGAAAAAGAACAGGACTTAACCCGTACTTTAAAGTAGAGCTGTGAGCTCTGCTGCTTTAACTTGTGTGGTTATGTTTTGCTTCCTAAATCTCCGCATTTTGAGCTGGAAAATCCTTTCTGCCCCTGAAGTGCTGCGCGCAGTTGCTGCCTTCTATCCCAGAGGCGAGCCATGGACCCAGTGGCCCTGCAGGCACGGACACTGCACCAGGAGACCTCTCTGCACCCCCCTAGCCCTGCTCCCCCAGGCCCTTCCAAGCTCACATTCCCACTTCCACGACTGCAGCTTTTGAGCGGACCTTGCTGACGGTCTTGGACGTCCCTCAGAAGAACAAGGTTGGTGACTGGTGTCCAAGCCGAGCTGCAAGCAGCAGGAGCCTCTCGAAAGTCCCGCAGCAATTTCCATGAGATATGGAGACTTCACTTTCTGTCTTAAATCACGCCTGGGAACCCTCATTATTCATCTCAGCCCTTCATTCCCATCCCTGTTTTCTCCTTGGCAGTTCCTAGCAATCAATTGCTATGTATCTAACTCAGGGGTGGGCAATTATTTCGGGCGGAGGGCTGCTTACTGAGTTTTGGCAAGCCATTGAGGGCTGCATGACAGGCAGCCAGGGGCAGATCAATAGTAATTTTCTAAATTTTTTAGGGGCCCCGCAGGCCGGATAGAACAGCTTGGCAGGCCGCATTCGGCCCCCGGACTGCATTTTGCCCACCTCTGGAACAGTTTCTCTGTAAGTGAGGGCGGTTTATAGGCTTCCTGGTGGGCCTAGGATTTGGTTTTGACCCATTTTTAAATCAAACCCTCCCTCTGCAACAGAGTATAACAAATATCAAAAGTCTGTTGCTTTGTCCTAGCTTGTGCTTCCTTCGCCTGGTGTGTGATTGGAAGGAGCTCACATCATTTCCTATTGTCTTCCCTGTTTACCTGCTTGGTCACTCTCCATCCTCTGGCCTAAGAAAGCCCAATGATGGGTATCCCAAACCCCAGGCCCACGGACGTCCAGGGGCTCTGCTGGACAGACTTGGGGTAGTGGGTTTCTGTTGCTGGTTCCCAGGACAAGGTGCTTCTGGGAAGAGCAGCTAGTACATCCATGGACTGAGCAGAGAGGAGAGTTAGGAGATGGATTTGGATCTTATTTAAACAACACAAAATAGACCCTCAAGCAAGTCCACCCTGGGGTATCTCCACTGGGGTTACACCATCCCAGCCCTGGGACAGGGCCATGGTGACAGCTTAAAGAAGCCCTTTGCAGGAGAAGGTATTTTCAGATCTCTGATACAAAGTCAAATCGGTGCAGCTTGAAAGCTCCTGGGAGGCCCATTGCTGCAGGTCCATTAGCTGGTACATTATGTGTCCAGCAACCTGCTCCATCTGAATGCTTTCTCCAAGTGCTGCTGACCGTTGTGTAAGGTAGGTAGTTTATTTTAGATGCCCGGTGGTCGGCTGGGGGTGATTTCACTCTATTACTGCTGCCTCGTATCATTGAGAATCCATTGATATCAGGAGACTTGCCCAGCGTTAACATCCAACCGTGCAAACCTGGGCTCTGATCTGCATCTGACTTACGCGTGTGCGTCGTGCCACGCGCTGGGAACGGGTTGACGGTGCAGCGCTTGGAAAGCAATGCACCACCATCCATCTTTGCATGGCTCGGGGCTGTTGGACACAAGCTGGTGCTACCCTGAAGCACGCCGCAATCTAAAAGCAGGCCTGGCAAGCAGAACAAAAACGGAGAGCTCAGCACTGTTAACCAACACTAAGCATTTAGAAATCCTGCAGCAGACTGCCCCCACTCTTAAAATCATCAGATTGACTGAAAAATCATGGGGGTTTTTGTTTTGCCTCTAATACTACGTGACAATTTGTCAGGCTGCAGGAGCACGGTGCGGTTTTCCCACCCTCGAGAAAGACAGTCTGCTAAAGGCTGAAAAAAATGCAATGGAAGACAACTCATTGCTGATCAGGTACTGAGAACAGCTCCCTGCTGCTACCAGGGGTAGGAATAGCAATCACCTGGAGGAAGGGGCAGGGTTCAGCTGCTGAGTCACTTGGGCAGGTGCCTTTCATTAGCTCTCAGGCAGCGGACAGAAAAAGCCCAGCAGTAGGGGAGTCTTGCTGGAGAAAGTTTGGGGTCTGGTGGACTCTATAGTGGTTAGCTGGGTTTCAAGCATTTGTTCCAGTCTTTTGTGGGGGAAAGGAAGCAGGGTGAGCTGGATCAGACTCTTCCTGTGATCTGGTATAGTGAAATATGAGGTATCCTGGATTTGTGCTGTTTTTGGCTTGCACCTTTTAATTCAGGGGTGGTCAATTATTTTGGGTAGAGGGCTGCATTTTAAGCCATTGAGGGCTGCGTGCCAGGCAGCCCAGGGCAGATAAATATTAATTTTCTAAATTTTTTAGGGGCCCTGTGGGCTGGATAGGATGGCCTAGTAGGCTGCATCTGGCCCCTGGGCTGCATTTTGCCCAGTCCTGGTCTAATCAGTGGAGCAGCTTTCTCTATTTCTCACCCTGTGCTAGCTGTCACCTTGTCATTCTTGTGGTTCATGCTCCTTCTTCTCTGCCACACCCTTGTAACCTTGCCTTGCCACAATCTCTGCCTGCCCCCTTTCCATCCTGTTCTCTTTGACAGCTTGATTGATATTTAGGTATGTTATGGTGCTATTTAGTGGCTAATTGCTCCTGAATGAGCTGCAGTCCCTGCCCTGGCTTGTTTGCTAGCTGAACAGCCAAGCCTGGCACAGGTGAAAGGCTGTGTTTCTGCTGCTGTCCTGGTGTGCCCTTTGTCCTCTGGAAACTTGCTGCTTGTAGTAATCCCTTTTCTGCTCCTGCCCCCTCGTTGTCCCCATGTCCTCTTGTCCCTGTAGCATTTTGTCCTGTGTCTGATTAGGTTTAACTTGCTCAGACAAAGCTGTCTGCATGCTAGAGCTGCTTCCTGAAAGGAGCTCCAATGACTTCATGTTTTGTGAACGTAGCCCTCTAGACCCGATTCTCCTCTGGCTCGATCTTGCACTGATTGCAGTGGCACACATCTCTGGATGAGGGAAGAATTGGGACTTTGACTGGACTACCATCACTTCCAGGGGTTGAGATCTAGATATTGAAACACAACATCCTAATTTCAAAGGCTGGAAGGAACCTCAAAGGTCATCTGGTCCCTGAGTGCAGGAATAGAGGGCTAAATGTTGACATGCATCCTGGTATTTGTTTCCTGCACTAATGTATCCTAGGGGCAAAGGCTGTATTCCAAACTCCAGGAGGAGGGACCAGGCGCAGGGATAAAGGCACCGTACCAGTGTGGTCTAGAGCTGTGCAAAGCTTCGGGTGGTGGCTAGATTCGGCCCAATTTGGTGGCTGGATCTCCAAATCCAAATCAAACCAGGGGATCAATTAAAAAGTCCGAATCGATTCCGAAGATTCAAAGCTCTCCGAAAAGATTTGGAGAGCTTCGATGATTCGGGCAGTCCCCACCCAATACAGCGGGGAGCTGGAGCTGACTCTTGTTGGGGGGAGGGGTAGCCATGGGGGGACCCCTGCCTGTTACCCCCAGCCTCCCCACAGCTGCCCCGCCTGCCCCAGCTCCCGGCCCTTTAAAGAAAATCCTGACTCACCGGTGCTGCTGTGGGGGTCATCCCTGCTGCTCCCCACTGCCCCATGCTGCATGGGGGGGCTCTGCATGAGCCCCTGACCCCCTACCCACCCCAGCTCCAGCCCTTTAAGAAAAAAAACGGAGAAAAACCCTGCAACTCACTGCTCCTGCAGCAGCCTTGGGGCTTTGGGGGGCTTGTGCAGAGCCCCCCACGTGGTGTGGGGCAGCCGGGATCACCCCCTGCCGGTAGGAGCG